TCAAGTTTCTTGCATCTTCTTTTATGGCAAATAATCTTTTAAACCTAGGTATAATTGGCAAATACCATAACACCTTAGCAGGGGGACCATCTAGTTCTTCCTCACCACTACTTTCCTCAACTTTGGTTTTGAACCTCGACAAACCACATGTCTGGACACATCTTTAATTTAGCAAAATCATTTCTGTACAATATACAATCATTAGGACATGCATGTATTTTCTTGTACTCTAAACCCATTGGACATAATATCTTCTTTGCCTCATAGTTACGAATAGGTAATGTATTATCTTCAGGAAGCATCTCCTTCAACAACTCCAATAATTCGGTGAAACTTTTATCAGTCCATCCATTTCTTGCTTTTAAAGTAAACAATTTTAAAGTTGCTCGATAATCTTGTAAAACTACATCCTATGTACAATTGTTGCGCAAAATCAGATTTCAAAGAATCATATATATGTGCTTTCATAAAATGTTCTTCACCAATATCACGTATCATATCCTCTAGATTATCATTCATCCCTTCATCAAAATTGTCTGTAGTTGACACAGTTGGGATGTCTAATATTTCTCCATGCCATGTCCATATTGTATAACTCTTAATAATACCATAAACAAACAAGTGATCACGTATATCCTCAAGTTTATGACGAATTTGATTCAAACAACGAACACATGGACAATAATATGTCCCTTTCATAACTTTTCTATTTTCACTAGCAAATTTCAGAAATTCCTCAACTCCCTTTTCGTACTCTTCACTAATACGACGTGCATTCATCCAACTTCGATTCATATTATGTTATAAAGTTTCGTCACTCCTAAAGATTTAAAAATTAAATGTAAAAAAAAATTAATATACAAACAACAAAGCACGTTCCAACAACAATGGAGTGTGTAAACCGAATGCACTCAAACAAATAAACAAATAACTACATTCCAATAACAATCCAGTGGAGACATTCATACTATAACGTGATTGAGATCCCCAAAAACAATCACGGATTCAATGTAAACATATAGCAATGACAATGAACACTAACCTCGAGTGTAGACGAAAACTGATTTCAAACTCGAATCCAATCGGGGAGAAAGATGAAGTTCGTCAAATGACACGACAATGTAGATGCTTTTCACTGTAAAACTGCTCGCAAATGGTGTGCAGAGGTAGTTGTTGTCGTCGTTCTCGTCATCGTTCTCAAAAACCCTGGTTGCGCGAGACGAGGAAGTGGGCTGGGAGGGAAATAAAATAGACTTTTTACGTCGCGCAGTGCAGCAAGCGACGTAAATTTTTTGTCCCATATTTACAAAATTGCCACCGCGTTTTATTTACGTCGAATATACGTGCATGCGACGATAATTGGGTGACGTAAAAGCCCTATTCTGCACTAGTGCAAGTTGATTTCAAAGGCCAATTTTTTCATCTTCATATCATCCTCTTAGTTATCATATCAATATTAGAACTCTTAGCATATTGATATCACCTTTATATATATTAAATTGCTCATTAAATTTTATATAAAGCCTCGCCGGAGTTGAAAATAGACCCTGCAAACTAAAACAGATCTACCAGTACTTCCTGGTCATTTCAGTCGTAACAAGTTACGCTGCCTCCATTAAATAAATGAGGTTTTATAAAATTGAATAAAATTAAGTAGTTATTATAATAATTACTTGTGGACGCTTAAAATATTATTCGACATGAGAAAGATAAAGGAGAAAAAAAATTAGGTTATATACTAAATTTATATAAAATACTTTTATATTTACTTTAACATAAAAGAAAGATTGAAAAAAAAAAAACATAAATTTAGTGGTTAGATGAATATTCACCTTCATATCATTACAAAATAAAATTAATCAAAATGTACGGAAATTACTTGTGCCTCATTTATGTGAAATGGTTTTTCCAAAGTATAGCAAAGAGTAACAATATTGAGTGAATAATGTTGAGGTTCAGTTGTGATTTCAAAAAGGAGACTGAATTCAAATATTTTTATAAATAAATGACTTGTTTTTTCTGAAATAAGCCAGTACACTTTTCAAATTGGGGTTGAATATCAAGAAAAAAAATCAATAATTATACTAGCCTAAATAAGAGAGTTACGTTCAAATGCTTAATCACACTAATACTTAATCACATCAAGATTTTGAACCTTACAAGATTTACACAATCTTATCGCAAGTATCATCTTGATCACCCTTGTGAAAACAATTACACCTAATAAATGATGAAAAAGAATAAGATCAGCTGAAAAAAATTCCAGCTCAAGATATGAAGAATAAAAGAAAAAGGTGATTTCGTATTTACTTAATTCACTCTATGATATTGATGTCATTTTAGTTGAACAGTTCAAATAAGCATTTTCTCTCTTGCATTAGTAATATCAAAGTTTCAGAAAAGTTTCACATTTTTCATAATAAATTCCTCAATGAAATATAATATAGTTTTAATAGGTTAAAATATAGTATGATGTCCAAGTTTTAGGATTTCAATATATTAAAATGCGCTTTTAATAATTTAAATCACTAATGTTTTAACTTTAATTATATGATTTTAATAGAATAAAATGTTGATTTAATCAATCAACATCGTGAGACTTATAAACCTTAAACAAATTATTTAATTAAAATCATATTTGATTTAATTCAAATCTAACAATCTTAAAAAAACATAACACATCAAAATAACTTTAATTCATTAAAATAATACAATGCATTTCAATTAAGATAAACATTATTTCTAAATAGATTTTGTATTTAACTTATGCAAGATTAGAATAAATAATAAATCACTTACACACATTTAACATTAAATTACAACTCAATAAAACATTAGACATAAGATCAACATAGGAACACTCACATAAGAGAATAGTTGTCATTTTATAAAGTTGATTTGAAAATAGTTGTGGTTTAGAAGTGTAAAAGGGATTTAGATGATGATATCAAAGTTGAGTTTTAAAACAAAAGTGAATAGATATATGATAAAGATATTAAAGTAGTTCACAACTACTTTCTTATCAGCAAAACGATAATGCCTATTCTCTTGTGAATTTGAGTTCGAGGTCCATTCTTTGTTTTTTCTCCATGTCCCGTGATCCACCAAGCTAATAATGCACATGATTTCGATGCTTATTTCCATTTCATATAACCTGCTTTAATTTAATTATCGTGGAAAAACTTTCACTTCACAATTCTTATTCTTGGCCACACGGCGTTTGGGAAATATCATTCAACAGATGAGGCACTGTCCTTTCTTACTTCTATATTTTGTTTAGAAGATATGGTGCATATGTTGCGGTGTAGCATCAATTGTCCCGTGACGAAGGTCAGTGGTGAGTCACAATTGAATCGTGAGCGCTTAGATGTTAAAGTAAAAGAGTTAGCGCCTGATTAACTGGCTATAGCTTTTGGCCTAGTGGTAGAGCTCGATCCTAACAAATATGAAATGAAATCACACTTAAGGAGAAAATGTTGAGAATTCAAGTGTGAGTTTGAAGTCCCACATTAGGTAGAAGAAAGACCCATAATCTAATGCCTTAAGGTTTTAAGTTGAAGGTGATGTCATATTGTCCTTTATAATTGACTCATGACCCATTTGTGAAAAATTTTCTGTTGTTAACCCTCTCAAAAATATCCTAATATACCATGTCCTGTCCAAATTGTATAATTTTTAAGAAAACCATCACATAAAATATGCTCCTTAATTTGCTCAACATTTTATCATCTTTCATTAAGACTATTAACACATAAACACATAATTTTTTCACTTCTTTCTTGTACTTATGAGTTATGCAAGCACAATTAATCAAACTTTTATCCATTTTTAGATTTTATAATCCTTACACAATTATATACTTTAGTTAATAATACAATTTGTCGGGGATGGAACCTCCTCAGTTAATATATATATATATATATTTTTTTCCTATTTAAAATTATAGATGCAATATGTTTCGGGTTGCCAATATTGAACATTTGTTTTGAGTAGTATTAAAAAATTTCGTGTGTATCTAACAAATTAAAAGCTTTGATTTATGTCTATTCGTTGATACGTCATCAATTATAAGTTAACACACATGTTACATAATCATGATGAGTGTTCATACATCTCATATGTTATAAAAATGTTTTATTATAAAAAAATTACTAAATTAAAAGAAAAATCTAAAACATTTTAGAATTTAAAGACGGATGGAAGGGAGGATTGACATGCGGATGTCATAGTCAACCCAAAAAGTTTATACTCTTTTAAATTTTATATATATAAAATAAATTTTTAATCTTTTAATAATAAGAAAAAATAAATCATGGTTTTCTCAATTTTATACGATGCCTCCTCTTTTTAGAGGTGTTGAATATCACTCCACTCTCACAATTATTAATAATAATTTCCACTAACAAATGATTTTATTTTTGTTAATTTGATTTCTTTTCTTTCAATTATACATGTAGTCATGCTACATCTATTTATAAATTCCGAAGTGCATTGACTTCTAAGAAACATTTATAATTTCACCATTTTAGCTTACTTGTCACCATTCAACTTTATAAAAGACAATTTTATAATAGGATTTTCTTAAATTTTGCAAGTATGTTTAATTTTTCATAAATTATAATTGAAATAAATATGTTAAAATATTGAATAACTACAATTTGAGACGTGGAATGCATAAACTTGCAGAATACTCACATGGCACCGAAATGATCTGACAAGGAGTTTTTCTGTTTTGTCTTTTTTTTTTTTCATTGGAACTACGTTGTCTTTGACGTTATATAAATCCAGAAAGATTAAATAAGTTAGAGAAGCTGCAAAGAGAAGTGCCTAAACCACAAATAGAGTTTTTCTTTGCATTTTTTATAATTATAATTGCTTCGTAGAATGGGAAGTGGAAATATAGTGTGCCGTCAATGTCAACGCTTCGATTGTATGTAGAAAAATACTTGTCCTTAATAGGCACCTTCTCAACAACTTTGCTTCCACTTATACCAATTCCCATGGCTTCTTCATCTCGGCTCATCAACACATATGATGTCTTTGTGAGCTTCCGTGGTGAAGACACGCGCAACAACTTTACTGGTTTTCTCTTTCAAGCTCTCTGCAGAAAAGGCATCCATGCCTTCAAAGATGATGAAGATCTGAAGAAAGGCGAATCCATAGCACCTGAGTTGCTACAAGCCATTCAAGGGTCTCGCCTTTTCCTCACTGTCTTCTCAAAAAACTATGCTTCCTCTATTTGGTGCTTGCGTGAACTAGCAGAGATCTGTAACTGCGTTGAAACATCGCCAAGACGTGTTATACCTATATTTTATGATGTTGATCCTTCAGATGTACGAAAACAGAGTGGCTTTTATGAGAAAGCATTTGCACGACACGAAGAAAGATTCAGAGAAGATAAAGAGAAGACGGAGGAAGTGCAGAGATGGAGACAAGCTCTCACACAAGTGGCCAATCTCTCTGGCTGGGATATACGAAACAAGTAAGTATTCCCTTCTCGTTACTTGACAGATCTTAATCTTAATGTATTCCGTATGCACATAGCCATATCATATCATGTTCTAAACTAGATTTAAATGAGGTTAAAGATTTAAGATTCAGATGTCTAATATAAACAGTAGTTTAAAACAAAATCTCTCCTTTTTTATTCTAACCTATACATCTAAAAGTTGGTTTCTCTCTCTTGGCTAATGATGTAGTATTCTTCATTTTCTTTAAAATTTCAGGGCACAATTTGCAGAAATCGAACAAATTGTTCAAAACTTACTAATTATACTGGGTCCGAACACATTAAATCTTCCCAATGATGATCTAGTTGGGATGGAGTCCCGTGTTGAAGAATTAGAAAATCTTCTATGTTTGGGATTAGTTAATGAGGTTCGAGCTGTTGGAATTAGTGGGATGGGTGGCATAGGAAAGACAACTCTTGCTCGGGCTTTATATGAAAGAATCTCTCATCAATATGATTTTCATGGTTTTATTGATGATGTAAGCAAAATTTATCGAGATTCAAGTTCATTAGGTATACAGAAGCAGTTGCTTTCACAGTCTCTAAAGGAGAAAAATCTAGAGATTTGCAATGCTTTGGAGGGAACATGTTTGGTGTGGACTAGGCTACACAATGTAAAGGCACTTGTTGTTCTTGACAATGTTGAGGATGTTGAACAACTGAAGATGTTTACAGGGAATAGAAACACTATGTTGCGTGAATGTTTGGGTGGAGGGAGCAGAATCATCATAATTTCTAGGGATGAGCATGTATTGAGAACACATGGAGTGGATGATGTTTATCAAGTTCAGCCGTTGAATAAGGAGAATGCTGTCGAGTTGTTTTGTAGAAGTGCTTTCAAAGTTAATTATATTTTGAGCGAATATGAAAAGTTGGCATATGAAGTTCTATCACATGCTGAAGGCCATCCCTTGGCAATTGAAGTAATTGGGTCATCTTTGTTTGGTCGAAATGTATCACAATGGAGAAGTGCATTGGGTAGGTTAAAAGATAATAAAAGGAGAAATATTATGGATGTTTTGCGTGTAAGTTTTAATCAGCTAGATGAAATTGACAGAGAAATATTTTTGGATATTGCATGCTTCCTCAGTGATTATGATGAGAAATATGCTATAGAAGTTCTAAATTTTCGTGGATTTTATCCTGAATATGGCATACAAGTTCTCATTGATAAGTCACTCATAACCATTAAATATGGGAGCATTTGTATGCATAGATTGTTGAGGGATTTGGGCAGGTGTATTGTTCGTGAAAAATCACCTAAGGAGCCCATCAAGTGGAGCAGGTTGTGGGATTACCAAGATCTCTATAATGTCATGTTAGAGAATCAGGTAAAATTGGTAGTTTGATTACGAAAATCTTAGGTTGCCACTTTTTTATTAGAATATATGAATACTTAAAAAAAGAAAATCATAATTTGATTTTTCTGTGCAATGTTTGTAGGAAAGTGAGAATCTTGAAGCCATAGTTGTTAAATCCAATTCATTGATGATTAATGAAGCTATAATGAGGGCAGATGCTCTGTCAAAAATTAAGCACCTTAAGTTGCTTAAACTTGAGAACGTAAAGTTTTCGGGAAGTCTCAATAATCTTTCAAATGAACTTGGATATCTTACATGGAAGCAATATCCTTTTCAGTGTTTGCCTCCAAGTTTTCAACCAGATAAATTAGTTGAGTTAGTCATTGGTGGGAACAACATTCAACGACTATGGGAAGGCACAAAGGTAGAGTACATTATTTTTGTTTCTATTTTTTTTTTTAACATAGTCTTTTTATTTCCTCTATCTTAATGTTGTGGACCATCGTATTTTTGTATTATCAAATTTTATTTAAAATAATTTTTTTATCTTATAATATAATAATAATAATAATAATAACTTTTCATAATATAATAATTGTATTCTTTCTCGTTCTTTTTTAACTCTTCTCTACATATATAATATAATAATCTGTTTTATTTTTTTTATAATACAATAAAAATAAATACTTTATATGATAAAACATAATATAATTTTGTAAACTATAGCTTAAAAAACAATTATAATAAAATAAATTTCTTTTAAATAATAGTATAGATTAATTAAAAAAAAAATCTAAGTATCATTATTAATTTGTCTTTTCTTGCCAATTGTTGTAGCCTCTACACAATTTGAAACGTTTGGATCTCTCTCACTCCAAAAATCTAGTTGAGATGCCAGATGTTGAAAGTGCCGTAAATCTTGAGATGCTAGATCTTGAAGGATGTATACAGCTCAGAATAATCAACCCATCCATTGGTCTTCTGAGAAAGCTTACTTTTCTCAATTTGAAAAACTGCATAAACCTAGTAAGCTTACCCAACAGCTATTGGGCCTGGCTTCTCTTGAATATATGAGTGTCTCTGGGTGTTCAAAACTGTATAATAATAAGTTATTAGATGAAGGATGGAATGGAGAGCATTTGAAGAAGCTTTGTTTACTTGAAGCTCCTTTCCATTCCCAGTCAACATCCTCTCTCATAAAAAGGTGGCTTTTGCGACCTTTAGATTTGTTGTATTCCAGAGCACACAGAGACTCACTTACTTGTTTGTCTCCTTCCTCTCCTACTCTCCCTTGTTTGCGTTTACTTGATCTAAGTTTTTGTAACTTGGTTCAAATCCCTGATGCCATTGGAAGCTTACGTTGCTTAGAAATGCTAAATTTAAAGGGAAACAATTTTTCTACACTTCCCAACCTCAAGGACCTTTTCAGACTCTATAATTTAAACTTACAGCATTGCAAGCGGTTGAAATATTTGCCGGATCTACCTTCACGAACTGACTTGCCCTCAGAACTTTACTATCTGCCAGATCTACCTTTCAATTTAATACGTGATGAAGCTAATGCAGGAATAATGATTTACAACTGTCGAGAATTAGTTGATAGGGACCGGTGCACTAGCATGAGTATTTCATGGATGATACAAATTGCTCAGGTTTGCATGCTCCTTCCTCCTCTTCCCTTCTTTATTATTTATTTTTTGTGTCGGCAACCAGCAACTAACGCATAACTCTGTTGTGGTACAAGGCGAACCACCAATGTAGATGTTTTCCATTTGATAAAATGAGTCCAAATTTTGAAAGTATTATCCCTGGAAGTGAAATACCGAGGTGGTTTAACAGTGAGCATGTGAGCACCGACAATTCAATAATCATAGATGCATCTCCAGTCGCTCATGAAAATTATTGGATGGGAGTTGTGTGTTGTGTAATATTCCAGATACGGGAAATTACTTCTCCAAGAGAAATATTACTTTACAGTGATGTAATTCCTGTTGATGTCAGGAAAGATCTAGCGATGGACGATTCAGATCACATGTGGCTATTCTATCTAACTCAGCAAGAGTTCATTCATCAATGCAATTATCGTGGCATACCTAATATTGATTGCTTGAAAATAAAATTTAAAATAGGGGACATGCTATATTTTCGTGATTTAATGGTGGAAAGTGAAGAAATGGAAGATAAAGTTTATCCCGAGAAGGAACAGTGGCAAATGGACGAGAGTGTTGTTCTGCTTGAAGTGAAGAAATACGGGTATCGTTGGGTATCTGAACAAGATCTAGAACAATCAAATTCGATAATGATGCATGGTGGAAATTTGGTAACTCGTAAGCGCAAGTTTTTAGCGATAGATGGAAACAAGTAGGAACAGGATTTCAGATATACTTTCATCATACTGAAGAATTGATGCATGGTGCAATCTACTTACTTACTCTTGAAGACCTTCAATGTTTAGAAAGTAAATTCCCCTGTTTGAATAAGGTCAGATGAAATTTTCATGATCTTTGTTATTACTTCTTTAAAAATAGAAAAGTAAACTAATTATTTGTCCCTGACATCATGATACGCAACACCATACCATATGATACATGATAAATTCTAGAATATTTGTATTTTGTTAAGATACTTCCAATTTATAGTTTGTTGCACGAAACAACATGAGAAACCTCTTGGCTCATGTCCATACCAGTAGGAATACCTGTAACTATAAATAACATTGTAGGTAATAAAAGAAGTCCGAGAAGAATTAATCCAACCTATTTTTTAGTTTCACTCCTTGCTTACTTTCTCTAGAAGCTTCCTTGCACGAAAAGTGTTTTTTTTTTTTTTATGAAGAGAGTAAAAAAAATATTGATTTTATTAAATGGGACAAAAATTTAAATTTTTACTAAAGTAGGTCAAATCGTATCTGTTAAGTGGTATAAAGTAGAATAATTATATTTTTAATTATTATGAAATCACTCAATTTATGTTAATTCTAATTTATTTTTCTCTCAATATAGGATGAATTTGAGAATACCTTGATACAAGAGTAAGGAGCATAATTGTCAGCATAATTGAAGCGAAACTGAAAGAAAGAAGAAGATTTTCAGCATGGAAGTCGCTCGAGCGGGATGGATTCTCGCTTGAGCGAAAATCAGTTATTCTTCTCTGGAATCATTAGCTCAAGCAAAACACTTTGTCGCTTCAGCGAAAATTAGTTATTCGTCTCTGGAATTCACTTGCTAATGCGAACATTTAGTCACTTGAGCGAAAATGTGGAAATTTCGCTTGAATACTTTCGTTTAAGCGAAAGTCTCGACCCAAAATTTTTCTATTTAAAGAGAAGTTGTGTTTTGAGAAAGGAAGTTAGGTTTTGGGAGAGGAGGTGCGACTACTGCTAGGATTTCGTTCAATCTTCATCAATTTTTCACTTCTTCATCAATTATAGCATTGTAATGGCCACCATGAATGACTAACTTCATTCTCTTGGGATTGGGTGCACTTCCTTTGAACTCTTTTGTATCTTGGTGATATTTTGATATATTAGTCTATGTTTTGATGTTGCTATTCTTATCTTTTGTGCCTTGGAATGATTTATTCTTGATGTTTGGGATATGATTAGAAAATATATCTTGAACCCTAGATCATGATAAAAATATTTATTACGTTAATTGCCAGGAATGGAATGAATGTATCAATTGCTTAACACCTAAACCTAATGTTGAATAATCTTTTAAGTGTGTGAGGAATCAACATTTATTAGCTTTTCTTATAAATTTCATGTGTGAGGAATCAACATGGATGAATTGAGTAGGTGGCATCAACATTGTTAGGTTAATTGATGATCTTAATTGAACATAGTCATTGCAAAAGAGGAAAAAGGAAGGAAGTCAATCCTAAGTACATTTAATTGATCTTTTCGAAACAATTTACTATTCTTTGTCATTTTATTTTCATTGCAACTCTTTATGAACAACATTTTTTGCTTTAATCCACTTAGTAAGCATATAATTGGGAATTTTCATTGAAACCGTTCCTTGTGGGATTGATTTTTATTTAATCAAATTACTATACTACGATTGATAAATTTGGTACGCTTGTCAATAATTCAACAAATATTTCTGGCGCCGTTACCGAGGAACGGTGTTCTTTAAGAATTCTTTGTTTAAGCTTATTAAGTAATTTATTTTTGTCTGTGTTTTCGTTTTATTATCGTTATCATATGCTAATCTTTGCTTGAGTTGCTCTTTGATTTATGCGTTTAAGAGGACAGGTAACTTCAGAGTAGTCATAATTTAATCCTGAAATCGAAAAGACTACTCGAAGGAACCGTGGTAGAAGAACAAGGGAAACTCAAGAACAAGTTACAGGAAATTCAGTTAACTCTTCTCATACACTCAATTTAATAGACCCAATCATAGAAGACATGACAGAAGAAGGAGCAAATCTAAATCCAAATCCACCTAGAAGAACACTTAGAGACTATGTTATGCAGCAAGGTTCGAGACACTTCTCCAGCATTGCAATACAAGCCAACCAAACATTGGAGATGAAGTCAGCTTTCTTAAGCTTGATTAGTGCTCATCAATTCACTGGATTGGATCACGAAGATTCATACATTGACTTATCTACTTTTTATGAGTTGATTGGTACCATGGGATTTAGAGAAGCAGATATTGAATCTGCATATTTAAGATTATTTCCTTTTTCTTTGGCTAGCAGGGCAAATGAATGACTGAATGCACATCCTAATCAGAGTTTGACCAACTGGGGTAATATAGAAGAGAAGTTCCTTAACAGATTTTTTCCACCATCCTGTTACATCAAAGCAAAATCTGACATCTCCTCTTTTAGACAATGAGAAGATGAACCTTTTTGTAAAGCATGAGAGAAATTTAAGTCACTGTTGAGGAGATGCCCAAATCATGGATTTGAAGACATTGCTCAGTTGAATATTTTTTATACTGGCCTGCGACCTGATACAAAGATATTATTAGATGTTGCAGCAGCAGGATCCATGTTAGATATAGACATCAAACATGCCACAAGGATTATTGATGCACTATCCTCTACAGACCAACAGACCCAACATGATAAACATCCAGTTCAAAGGAAATGAGTACTTGAACTTAGCACCTCAAATGCTCTTTTAGCCCAGAATAAACTTATAACTCAAAATTTTGAAGCATTGAACCAGAAAATAGAGAAAATACCTCAACAAATGCATGCAGTACAATCCATTCCTGGTCAACAATTCATGAAATGTGACTTATATGGAGGTGATCATCCAAATGAACACTGCTCATACCAAAGCAACCTACAACAAGAAAAAGCTAATTATATGGTGCTCAAGGTAGTAGTCAAGGCAGACAAGGTAATTTCCCTAATTTTGACAATTATCAGAATAATTTTTCACAAGGATGGAGAGGGAATCATAATCAGAATCAGAATCAGAATCAGAACTTTGGGTTGAAACAAGGTGCTAATTTATCCAATAAACCATCTCTATATCAACAACAATCATATCAACAACTTCCTTATCAATATCAGCAACAACATTATCCTCCAATGCAAAACACAATGAGCAAATTGGAGGACACTGTAGAAAAATTCATGCAAGCTACTTTTTCTAGTCAGAAAAATACTGAGGCTTCATTCAGAAATTTAGAGACCTAGATAGGTCAGTTGGCTAAACAGTTATCTGAACAACAAGGAGGACAATTTTCAGTTAACACACAAACCAACCCCAGGGAACAATGCAATTCAATAACTACAAGAAGTGAAAAAGTTGTAGGTAAGGGGATTGGTGACAATATATCTGTTGAAGAAGAAGTTCTGGTAAAAGAAGATGAAGAGCAAGAAGAGGAGAGTAAGAAAGAAAGACAAAAGAAGAACGAAGAAGGAGAGAAAAAACAAAAAATAGAAAAAGGAGGGAGTCAAAAACCATTTGTAGAGAAGTTACAAAGACAATTTGCAATTTGCAAGATTTGCAAGATTTATGGATATTTTCAAGCAATTGCAAATCAATATACCCTTTGTGGAAGCCATGGAGCAAATGCCAACATACGCCAAATTTATGAAAGAGCTCCTAACTAAGAAAAGAAGATTTACTAATGAAACAGTAGAGTTAGAGGCAGGGTGCAGTGCTATATTCCAAAAATCATTGCCTCAAAAGTCAAAGGACCCTGGAAGTTTCACTATACCAGTCATAATTGGTGAATTACCGGTGAAAAAAGCATTACTTGATTTAGGGGCCAACATAAACCTCATGCCATTATCTATTCTCAAAAGAATAGGAGACTTGGATGTTAGACCAACTGATATGAATCTCAAGGGGTAATTTAGGATCTTTAGGGTTAGAACCTTGTAAGAAATTTAGGAATTAGAAAGAAGGTGGAAGGAAAGAATCACTCTTCCCAAGGAAGACAACACACAAAGGATATGTGAAAGTCCTTTGATACAACCAAGGGTTCTTGAATCACTCAAGAATTTAGGAGAATCACTCTCACTAAGAAAAAAGAGATAAACTCTAATATTTCTGAATAAAATTCCACTTGTTATTTCTTGATAAAAATGGTTCAGCTGATATAAAAGCGTTGCCATCAGAATTACAAAGACTCAATAAAAGAAAATAAATACTAATAATAACCCATTAATCTAAGAATTGAAAACTATTTAATGGAAACAAATAAAGGCTAATAATGATCCATTAACCGAGGAATTGAAACTACTTAATGACTAATTGTATCTGAAACTGTGGCAACCAAAAGTCAATCAGCTATGTACCTCTTGGTCTCCCAAAGGCTGATGACTAAATTTTCAATTGGACCCTTATTACAACTTAAAACAAAATCAAACTAAAGCTCATTAATTGATTAATTCAAAACATAATTTGGTCAACCAACAATACTTGTTGAAGAGCTTCCTTTGTTTTCCTTGCTCTAGCCTTTATCATAGGTCATGTTCATATCATTCTCTCCCTCTTGAAAAGGATTTGTCCTCAAATCGGATTCGCCATCTACATAAAAAAGAGA